AGGAAACAGTGAAGCCTTAATTACATGCATCACCACATGGAGCTATTAGGCGATGCTAACCAAAGCTACAACTCTCTAAATATGGCCTTCGCATACTAAGAGTTAGCCATCATTGCCAAGGAAACTAATGCAGCACCCCTCCGCTTTTGTGTGTTTGTCCTGCGTTGCGGATCAAAAGGAAGTTGTGCTGCACATCACACTGCACAAGAGATCAAAATGTTCTCCCCATCAAAAAGACGCGACAAGCTTTTAAAGGCCCTAAAAGCACCACTCCTCCTGACTGGAGTGGTTTGTGCAGCGTTTAGCATTTGGTGGTTGTTAGCAAAGGTTTGAGGAGCCAGCGGGGGAGCCAGCTGACTTTAAAGATGAGAAAAAGTTCACAGCGGTGCAGAGAGGACAAGATGGGAAAGTCAAAAATAGGGATTTCCTTCATTTTAACATTTGAAGGTTCATCCTTGAGGCTCCTACAACAAAACTAACRTGCTAAGCAACTTAAAGGGATAGTTCAGTCACTTTAAGGTGGTGTTGTGCTCTGGAGCATACCCTGTTTGACATATGAGATCAAGTATGTTAAAAATAACAACTTCTTAGAGATCAGTTTCTTTAGAAATATGGAAAAAAGCTAAAATACATAGTTTCTGTTTTTCTTCTGAGACCTTCTGTCGTTTTATTGCCTAGAGATAAAATTGATGATGCAGCCTAAAACAGAAAACAAGTTTTAAAGTTTGTTCCTGACATTTACAGAGTATTTTTTTCCTTTAATTAAAATCACTGAACCCAAACAGATTGCCCTGACATTTTTGAATCCAACCTACAAGTATGAGCGTACTTTCTGTCTGCATCAAATTACCCGGTCTGTTCCATTTCTTATTCTCATCCACTTTATAACYGGTGTGAAAAAACTAAATTGGGGCGGTTTTGCAAAATTGACTCTTTTGAGCTTTCTATCATGTTAATGTCATTTCCTCATCAAACACAAACCCAGAGTGTAGCTCTGACTCATTCCTGCATGTTTGAGAAATGGGTTGCAGCCGACGTAGACCARGGCTGACGTTGGCCACAATCTWCGTGGGCTGCATAAATGGCTCGGGTGCAAAGTCAAATCAGCAGTGGTGGGCGCACCAGTCCCTTAAAGTGCAAGTGCWCTAATTGCAGACTTAAATTTCTTCTTTGTGCTTTAGGGGTTTTACTAATTTCTTGAAATGATGTTTGGATTTTTGCTTTCTAAAATTAGAATTGAGTTGCGCTAATCGCAAATAGTTTTTCAAATTTGATTGTCAAATATATCTATATCCACTGTTATGTAGCCACATATTTCATTAAAGTTTCATCATTTTCTTGAACATTGGAGAGGAAAGCTGTCTCTTCACAACGGAGCTCCACTGTGTGGAAACAGTGACCTTTCAGGCAACATCATGTTCACAGAGCTTCATACTCTACCTGACTCTCCTTCTGTGCGACGATTTTCATTTAGTAGAGAGTCCTACAATTCTTTGCGTGGCAGGATTGTCACTGGGTGACAATCCACCAGCAGTTCTGATTTGCAGAACCACGCTCAGCTGTGCAGTTTGTATGTCCTCTCTCCAAGGGACATCGCAGCGATAAATATTAAATAAATAATAATAAATAAAGAAACACGAAATAGGCTGTGTGCAAAACGGCAGGCCGGGTCCTCCGAAGGCCGAATTTGTCGGCCGCATACGTCACAGCGCCGCGACGAAGGACGTCCAAAACCGAAGACTCCTCTGATGCGGCCGACAAATACGTCCTTCCTTTGGCCCGAATCGAAGGACAGGTCCGATGGATCCTTCCTGGCCCAGCATATCCCATAATGCATTGCGGCCCGACCGGAGATTTTTTTATGCTAGTAATGGCAGACGAAGTGAGAGAAAAGAATACATTTTAAATAAAAATAGGGTGATATAAAAATAAAAAAAAATTAGTGGTTGTAATTCTAATGCTTTTATCATTTGTATGGACATGTTTTTAAATATTTTTTCGTCATAAAAAACGCGAAATAAACATGCAGCTACAGCGGGTCAATTAGTTCTTCAAATGATACCTTTAAGTTAATTTTATAGTTTTGTGATATTAATAATGCTAATGTATTGATATTTTTCTAGTTTTGATTTAAGTTTGCTTGTTTAGCGTCGTCACAYTTGCTAGGTGACATGACATACGCCAGGGTAAGGAGGGGAGGCTAGACCGTCCAAATTCACAGCCTCTTTTTTTTCCGGTCTTCCTTGTCTACCAAGGACCCAGCCCGCCGCAACCGGGTAGTCTGGGTCCTCTGGAGGACCCGGCCTGTCATTTTGGACACAGCCGAATAAGAGTTCATGTTCTTCATCCTGTAGCKTACCCAGAATGCATCGCTTCAGTTTTACAACCAATAGTTTAAAATTACTAATYTATCTGTATGCTTTCTTACTGAAACCCTACCATAAACATAAGAAAACGACCAAGAAGCAGCAGAACTAGCAATCCACAACTTTTCTTAACACCATGACGCAAAAGTGTTTCGACCAATCACCTCCCCAAACTGCGGCTGCTTGTGCCAATCTGTGAAAGGAAAATGTTTTTTCCACTAGTTAGCAGTAAAGTGCTGACATGTTTCATGCATATACTAGAATGTTTTCTGGTAAATGGAGATAAAATTGTGCTTATGTTTAACTTCAGCTAAGTTTTATTGAGTATGTGTGCTTTTGAACTTGAACTCTAAATAATTCAACTAGCACTTTAGAAAATGTGTAACTAAACATTGGATTAGTGCTGCCCACCACTGCAAATCAGTATGGTTTTTATGCAAAATCAAATTTATTTTTGATATAAACAGCTTTTTCATAARAACTAGGTAACATAGTTAKTTGATTGACTTTTTAWTATAAGAAACTGATTTTGGATTAAAACAGAATAAATCGTTTTTTCTTCAAGATTTAGTACGACTGTGAGATGCAACAACCTTGAAGTGCAAAGTATTTGGAGTCTTACATAACAGTGACTGCTTTTCTAAGTAAAATGGAAAATATTTTCTTTTGTGAATACTCATAATTAGAATGTTGCTGAATAATTTATCTTTGAATGTAGACAAAAGTGCTTGCCATTCGAGGAAAAGATATTTATTTCCATCTCCCCAATTTATAAAAGACACCATTCAAAAAAAAGAGCAGCAAAAGAAAAACAGAATCTGTWACAAAGCTGTAATTAAACTGACCTCTGAGCAATTTGAGACACAATGACACCTCACACAGGTTTTATAATGTTGTTGCTTGCCTCAAATTTATTTGCGAACATTTCATTGGATGTTTTTGTTTTTCCATTTTTCCTCAGGAGGGAAGTGAGAGTAATTAGTAGGCCATGACCCTTTTACAGTTATTAATGTGCATCCTTAAAATTTCATACCATGCCCCCAAATATATTCCAGCTACTTGCTTTTACAGTATATTGACTTTTCTAAATGGACATACTTATAAATTAATTTTGTTAGTTACAATTAGATAGTGAAATGTCCTTAATGTACAATGTTGCCAGGTGTCAGAATGARMGCAGAGCACAGCTGAAACATCTGCACACTTTTTAGACTAAATGTGTGATAAGTAGGCTTTAATATATATCTAAATCACAARGCTTTGCAAAATACTAACTAAATAATTTCCTGTAAAAAGGTCAAACAGACCAGCTTGCTGCAGTTGGACTATTTGCTCACCTAGTTGTTCACAAAATGTTAAACATCACACCATCCTTGCTTGTGAATGACTGAGCCTTTCAAGGATGCTCCCTACCCAGTTCACCTGTGGAGTGCTCCAAACAGGTGTTTTTGAGCATTCCTCAACTTTCCCAGTCTTTTGTTGCTCCTGTCGCAGCTTTTTTAGAACGTGTTGCAGGCATCAAATTCAAAACGAGTAAATATTTGCAATAAAAACCCCAATAAAATTGATCCATTTGAGCATTTAACATCTTGTTTTTGAAGGGTATTTAATTTTAAAAAAGGATTTTCAAATCGTCGTATTCTGTTTATGTTTTAGACATCCCATCTTCATTGGAATTGGGGTTGTAAATTTGCTGCTATGATTTGAATATTTTTTCTCTTTTTCAAATTTTGGGACAAATTCTTTTAAATGAAGCTGAAATCTCCATTTTTCCCCTACCTTTAACTTTCCTGACATGATGTTCTCATAAAGTTTTATGTTCTTAGTCTTATATTTAGGACATTTTCTCTCCATATTCTTTTTTTCATTCTAGTAAATAAAAAAATGATGGTTTATTATAAAAAGTTACCAAAACCATGATTCTGATGCAGCAAGCTCAGAAGTTGGGTATTTAGGTCATTATCTGGCTAAACTAACTTTTTATTATTATTATTTTTAATAAGTAGTTTTAGCCTTGCTCATTTCCTCTGAAACTAAAGCTTTATGAGTTTGGGTCACAGAGTGTAAGGTTTAGGAAAACCCACAGGTGTAAAACTCCATGTGCTCACTACAGACGGCTGCAGACAATAGTTTTTCTGAGCTTGCGCGAGTTGATGAACAACAGTAACGTTGGCAGATAGAGTGCTATTTGTGCTGCTCACCCTTTTTAACATGTAGCATCAATCCGACTTTATCCTTGGTTCGAGCAAACGTTCAGGTATTCAGAAGTTAAGATGCAACTGTTCTAAAAGTTGAGACTGAAGCGTCTTGTTCAAATACAAAAATAACAATTCCAGATAGTGATTTGGCATCAGTATTGCAAAATGTACAATTTCTGTATTAATATGATAGTTTGGGGGGTCAAACCCCCTCCTTTTCTGTTCACATCTTCACCCTTGCCTTGCATGTAAATCATGGCAGTGTAAGTTTTATTTTTTTTTTAAATATTGCAATCAACTTTGGGAAAAATGCTAACGTTACCAGAGATCGTCCACATTTCAGAATGCTTCAAAAATAAAAAAAATAAAACATTTAAGAAGTTACCTTTTATATTCTCATTGGAAGGCTGAGTTCTTCACATAAACACAAACCAACAAAAGACAAACCCTTATTTTTTATTTATGTTCTTAAAATACATATGAAACAATTACAATAAATTATATCCCAAATGCTTACTTTATATAGTTACAAAAAAGTATCACAAACTGTACACGTCATGACGGTGGTTGTGTTTTGTTCTCGCTTCATACAGATTCAACAATCACAGCTCAAAGCTCTAGTCTCCTACAGATTCAAAAACTTGAAGATGGGAGGTTTTCCACTTTCACTAGTTGTTCACAACTATTACAGAACGTGTAGAAATGTGATACTCYGTTTACAAGTCAGAGCTTTTCAAAGTGCCACCAAACGATAGAAATACATTGTGATGTCTTTTGTTTACATGAATTCACGACAACTTCTTAGGTTTGACGTCTCAGTAAGTACAAATAGTGCCATTAAAGAACAAGCCCGTTTCCAAAAGCATCGGTACTCTGTGTAGAATGTAAATACAAACAAAATACATTCTTAGTTTTCAATTAATTAAAGAAGACGCAATCAAACTGTTTCAGTGGTTTTAAAACTCATTTAAGCAATTCAATTCAAAACAAGCATCCACCTAACAAACAATTATAATAAAGAAAATTCAACATTTTATAATTTTGTCTTTAATTTCAAATGACTGCAATCTGCTTCTGTTGGCATTTTACACAGAATCCCCTTCTTTTATGAAACAAAGCCAAGTACACAGGTTTATATACAGCTGTAAACACAGATACTCAAACATTACACACATTTTCCCCCAGTAAGTGCTTTTGTTAAAGTGGGGACAGGCATGCTACGAGTAAAAAAAATAAAAATAAAACCGCTAATATTCGGGGGAAGCAGGGGGGGGGCATCATTTACTGCATGTGCAAGATAACAGTACACAGCCTTTCTCTAATTGCTATGCTGATTAGTTTTATTACTCACGTGTAAGAAGTTCTGTTTCAAACCTAATGTAACATGGCTAAATGGAGACGCWCACAAAAAATAAATAAATAAATAAATTGTGTGGAGGTGGAGCTCCCTGAATTTGAAACCGTGAATAAAATGTTCAAAGAAGCTGTTTTTCGTCAGATATCTTAGGAATGTGGCATTGAAACATTTTATTGCACGTTCTAATTGCAATATTTAAAGTTAAACATATTTTATCAATTCAAACGTGCAAGTTCAATTTCCTATGAAGATAAATTCTCCTGCGTGTAGAAAAATAGGTACAAATTTATTCATTTGGAGTTGATTTAAGATCCCACCTAATGCGCCGCAAAATAAACGGCATCCTCAGTATTCTGTACATTACACTGCTACATGTATCGGCTACCCTTTCTCTAATCACCACTTTGCTGATTGTTTCCTATCTATGACAGTTGTTCTTGCACATGCTCATTTACCTGTTTGAAGCGAAACCTTGAATTTATTCACCGCTAAACGTTTTCATGGCACCGAGCAGCGTAGCCCTTTCAACTTGTGCCACATTAAATAAATTCTGTAAAGCACCAAAAGAGCTTGTGGGCCAAAAGAATCTGAAGCTGGTTGAAAATACTGGAAAGGTTGAAGCAGTTTGATGTGAGACATGATTACATCCTTGAAGGCTTTATTCATGTGGTAAATGCTTGGTAAATCAAAAACCTTCCCAAACTCTTCATCTGATTGACCATGAGTGCTGTGCATAGCCATCTCTTTAGAGCACTTAGAGAAGTTGCATTCAAATGAATACGTAACATTTCAGTACAACCATAGAAACACATTAGGAGTGAATTCAGTTTCCGTACAACGTGCTCTTGATAAGCAACACAGCTTCTTATATGTCTGGTGTCTTTCAGAGGTGATTGTACCTGGGATCATCAGGGTGTCTGTGGAGGTTTGGGTGAAGAACACGAAGCTTGGCTCTCGAAGCTTGCAGCTCTTCCGGGCCACTAAAAAGGTAAAAATATCACAAAACAGACCTTTCATTTTAGTTTTGTTAACATAGCAGGGGCAAAGCTAGATTTTTGTTGCAAGGGGTGGCACAGGGGAGGCCAAGGTATTTAGGGGGGCCCATGTAAATGAAAACTACCCTGGATTTAAAAAAAATGCCACAACCAATTTCAAATGGTCTCTCTTGAAAAAGAGATTTACAATCTCAACGGGATATACCTGGTTAAATAAAGGTTAAATAAAATAAATAAAAATGGCTCTAATTCAGCTGTTTTTACAAATATTGAGCAGAAACTTTGTGTGATAGTAGCTAAGAATGATCCAAAAGACATTCTGAAAGCTAGTCCTGATTTCAAGCTAACTGCTAATGCTAATTTTAAAGCTAAAGAGCTATAATTCAGCATTTTGTAGACAGACAGAATTACAAATTAATGTATTAGCAGCCAAAATTAATCTTTATCAAATTATAAAATGCTAATCAAAAATTCAAGCTATCACAGCTAACTTAAAGGCTATAATTCAGCTTTTTTAGGACCTAGTAAGCACTGCTAGTCCTACTTTAAGCTTATTTTACAAAGGGCTATAATTTAGCCGTTAAATACACAGCTGTTTGACATAAATGCTTTTGTGCTAACTGACCTTTTTTTTTTGCTAGGTGTGATCCTCACCTTGTTGATCATTTGTGGGTGGCAACTGGGGTGGCCAATCAGGTGCCTTGGGTAGCACTTGCCACCCAAAAATAAAATATAAATCCTGTCTTTGCTTTAACCATTAAAATTAAAAAAAAGAAGAAAAAAATAGTGATTTTTTTAAAAGTTTTGAAACTGTGTTCTAATTTATTGGTAAAACAAAGAAACTAAAAAAAACCACCAGATTATTTGTTTTTTCCCCGTTTTATTTTGAAACATTAAAATTAAAGAACAAACCATACACAGATTCAGCAAGAAGCTAAAGCAATTATTATTGTGAATGTGATTATATTTACCAAACATTGTCTTCATATTCGCTACATACATACATAAATGTACCTCAAAAAAGTCTCACAATATGTGTTCATCTTTGTCGATTAAAGTTGGTGGATTGGAGTTAAAACAAGAAAAATAATGGAAAACAGAAAACTTAATGAAACAATGAGTACCAACGATACATGATATACCAATCAATAAAATGTCAGAATAATCTAAATTTATTTGTGTATTTAATATATACACAGTTGTGGTGGGGTGAAAGGTCAGTTTCACTGATAATGACATTGTTCATGGTGTAAATCGACTAACAGTTCAATTAAAGAACAACTATTAGTTGCAATGTCAAGAACTTATCTAGATTGGCACAATCTAGGGAACAAAGGGTTGAAATTTTGTAATTTAGATGTATAGACAAGAGGATCACCTATGACTTTGACCTTTGATCCTTTAACTTTGAAATCAATAGAGATCACTGATCCATGAGGTGTCCAGCTTTGCAGTTTGACATTCTTACAATACATGACTGCAGCGTTAGAGCACGGACAAGGTTTTCATAAAGGAGACGTGTGACCTTGAAGAAATCAATAGGGATCATCCTTGATGATCTCTATTGACGATCCTTGGCGCCATTCCATAATACACCCCGTATTTATATATAAAAATAYCCTAATGAAATAATAAAAATGTCTCTAAGGTATATTTACTCAAGCTCTGTAATTCTAAGCTCTTTCTACAATAAAAAGAGGACAAGTGGAATTAGAGAAAAGAACTTTTGTGTACCTCTCCCAGAGCGTGCCAGTGAGTGATGGGTTTTCGTGGATAAGCCAGCATTTCGTTCCAGTGATCTCGTCCAAGGCCCACTGCATCTGGCCCGGCTCGACACACACCGATCACCTCATTGTGTCCAACCCTGTTACCAGCGAGATGCTCGCATTGAAACACTTTGAGTTCACAAATAATACACCTCCCCCACTCCCAAAATGATCACAAACCTGAAACATGGCAACTTTCTTGCAGATATTTTGTAACAGAATTAAAGGGTGCTGTAATTAATTTAGCTTTTTAACAACCAGTTGTTTTCGTCATCATATTCCTGGAAACTTGTTTCACAATTAATCAGAAGGTATGAGAGGGATGTATATGCTCTTTTTGACTAATCTGCAGAAGTCTGATATYGTGTTGCTTTTATAGGTTAAGTGCAAATGTCAGTGGAATGGATTCAATTTTCTCTTATAGAGAATAAGCACAGGCACAGAGCCATTCTTATTTAATTTGTCTTCATTCCATTTTTTAAATTCATACTCATTTAAATGTTTGACTCAGAACGCTGAATCTGCCTGTTTGTCTCATTGTACTGTAGACTGAGATTGTCTGCAGGAAATGCTGTTTTAATCAAAAATACATCTGTTTACGTCGGTGTTATTGGTTGGCTTTTAAAACTTTGCACATCTTCTACGATTTATAGCATCTGATTTTCACACAAAACCAAAATGTAGGTATTGAAAATTTTCAGTAGAGAAAAAACCCAATGTTAGTTCTGAGCAATATGGCTGAAAAACGTACCACAATATAAGCATTTCATATCAGTTGATAACGTAATTATTAATTAGTTTTTATTTTACCCATTTGAAATAAGGACCAGGACAAAAGGTGTCTGAAAACAGCCAGTTCGGATGTTATCAGTCCATTAAATGGACGTTATTAGTGGTTATCAGTCCCATAGAATGGCTTCAGACTGTCCTGACTGTGCCCCCTAGCGGGTTATCCAAAGAATGGTTTCAGACTGTGTACCTACTAATACCTTGGAAGGCAACAATCTGCCGYTCTATTTTAACCTAGCCCAGGTAATTTTCTCTAAAATTAACCTTAGTGGCTTTATGACTCATATTAACCAGAAAGCATAAATAACCTTAGTGGCTTTGTGCCTCATACTAACCAGCTGACAGTCTGAAGCCATTCTATGGGACTGATAACCGCTAATAACGTCCATTTAATGTACTGATAACATCCGAAGCGGGCGCTGATAAACTGGTGACATGACCTTTCCTCTTTTATCCACTATTTCCTCTCGAGCTGTTGCCTCATTTCCTCCTTTCACTACAACGTTCAGGTTAATTTAACAAGTCTTGGAGATCATTTCTGAAAATATTCTCCTGTATGGTGCTGTTTGAACTCTGATTTGTTGATGGGTTTTATAACATCAAAGGGGACATGTCATGTTTTTTAAGTCCTTTTTCCCATTTAAATCATTCAGTTGGGGTCTATATGAAGTGGAACAGCAATGTTTTGGTCTGAATTCCTCCTTATTGTATCACCACAAACACTTCTTTCTCCCCTTTTCTGAAGTGCGTCTCAAATCAACTCATTTAGAGGATGTCACTTTAAATCCAAATGAGGTGCTTCCCACCCCGCCCCCATCCAACTTCCAGACTGGTCCATTCCAGTTTGATAGAGGGGTTTGCGACTATATAGCAGCACAGAAACGTTTTATTTACAAATGAACTAAAATATGTCAACAAGGGAAGACTTGTCCATCCAGCCTTACATGTTGGAGCCAGCGTCTAAGGAGAATGAAGACCACCAAACTTTATTACATTATTCTCCTCCAATCTGTCTTTTGTTTGTTTTGTCATTCTCACTGCATTTCCTGCTTTCTCCAGGGATTCTGTTTGGATATTTCCTAACACTTCAACATCACAATTTGTTGATAGAACGCATTCCCTGTTGCATCAGTCATGGTAAGCTGCCTGCAGCTAAAAGTGCCAAACTGTTATTCTACCTCACGTTTTATAGAAAGGATGTTTTACTGGAATTTATATTTTAAAATTAAGAACTAATTGTGTGGTTTGGCTTCCCATACGGTCTTGAAATAGGCAGCGGTGTGTGTGAAACCAAACTCATMAACATTATTAGTTAATGTGAGAAAATTCCTCTGTGACCTCTTGGTATGTTACACAATTTGCTCTTGATTGATTAATCAATACTCTACAGATTGTTATCTAACCTTTACCCATGTTTCAAGCAAAGCTCCCAGACACGATGCACTTTTAAAGACAGTCGCAGAGTTTGATAATTCGCTGTTCTTTTAAAAAAACACTGTCCTGACTTCCATCTCATTGATTTAAAAAAAAATCGCTCTACCTTGACCTTCAGATTAGATACTCATTTACTCATCGCTTTAGACTCGAAATATTGGTTATTTATTAATTTTTAGTTACCAAACCTACTTCTACAACATACGTATTTATCTCAGGATGTTTTGAGTTTGAATAATAAATAAAATTACAGCAACGCTGAACTTTTAGAAGTAAGAGTTTTACTCACCGATCATAATCCATCACCATGATGGACAGGCTGACTTGTTCCACGTTTTCTGGGGGGATGTCGAAGATGATGGCCTCATTGTACACAGGATTAAGTGTACTTTTCTTGATTGTTGTTTTTCTCTTCTTCAGCCTCCGTCCATTACAGACCAGGTAAACCTTCACGTACGGGTCTGTCGAAGGCAGAGTCAATTGTTTTTAATGTGTTAAATAAGAGTCACTAAAACACCACCGGCCCCCCATTTCTTTCACTTTTCTCTTCTAAGAGGCCTCCTGCTGTCTTGTTTTCAGCTAAGTTGAATTTATGGGCTCAGTTTGCTTTCATCTGGTTTACCTGAGGAGCCTGTGATGTCCATGGCTTTGAGGTTTCTGCATTTGATGACTGTTAGGGTCATTCTCCCCGCTGTGGGCAGGTAGCACAACGAGTACATGATTTCTCCCAAGTCGATACTCTCCTGGGGGGTGAAAGAGACGCAACGGAAAAGGGTTTAGCCTGCTTTTAAATGCTTCGGTTGCATTCTGTGAATCCAAATGTCAAAGTCAAACAGTAACCTTTTAGCACTTTAATGCACTTTGTGAAACTCTTTTTTAAAATATTTTTTTTAGTAGTAAGCACTTTAAAGTCTGAATGAATAATGCAAGTTTTCAGCCAATAAGGATAGAATAATACCTGAAGTTTTGATAAAAGTTGACCTCTTTTGTAACTATAATTACTGTTGCATAAGTTTGGAGTAACTGCCTGCAACATACTTTACACAAATCAAACATGACGAGGGACCTGCAGTTGGCTTCCAGTCCAATTATTATAGAAATTTATGTTTCTTAGATTTTCTGATTTTGAGTAATTTTGTAAAAGGATATATGTTACAAATAAAAATTTCCCAAAGAACTTGTGTCTTTTTTGTTTTTTAATCATGATGCTTTGATACCAGACAGAAGATGTTGTTTTATTATTAATTTTCTCAGTTCTATCTGCCTAACATCTGCTTTTTAGCTTATTGCCCCTAAGAAATAACAGTTTCCATAAGTCATGGGGAAAGAAGGGTCTTAATTTTACCCAAGACATCTCTCTATTTCCTCATTGTTATTTTACTGTATTTTTTAAATTTACATTGAAATAAAAAAAAAATCCAGGCAGTTTTGTTGCACTGAATACTCTTAACTGTATGAGTTGCTATTTGTGTTAAAATCTCTACCACTCACTTTTTAAGATGACATAACCAACGACTTAATCCCACACCATAAAGAACCAAATACTGTCCTCAGGCGCATTGAGGATAAAGACAGGGTAATTACTTGGCATCCAAATGTTCAACAAGATAATTTTCTCATTTTCTCCCAATTTTCATTCTTAAGTTTGGTGAAAAAATAACAAAACATGATGGGAAAAGTAGATTAATGCAAACTGCAGAAAGCCTTAATAGACTTTAGTCTGTTGCTCAGATAATTAGAGATTTTTTTTATACCAAACTAACTTTAATCTGTGTGCAAAGCTAGATCTGTAAGTACTTTAGTATGCAGTGCTTATCACAATAAGTGCATTTATTATTAAAGCAGAACAAAGTGTGATAAATGCGAGTGTCAAAGTAAATGCATCTGGGCCATTTTACTAGTTTCCTCTTTGAAGTGAGCTCTTACGAGGATTGGTAGTTTATAGCCATGTGGTTTGTTAGGAATTTCACTTGAGGTTGTATTTATTATATCAACTCTTGGAGATTTTTTACCTTATGTGGTTATATATAGGAGTGCAGAACGCCCAGCAGTTTCTGGAAAATGTGTGTGGGCGTTTGGCTGATTAAATGCATTTCCCAAAGCATTTGAATTATGCAATGTGCTCCACCTGCTACTCATGTGAAGGAGCCTTGATGAGATCAGACTCTGAGAAGTCAATGGGTGCTATGTTTTCTGATCCGACCTTGTTAAAAACAGTATAAATACCCAGTGTTTTCCCTCACTGACAGTAGCATGTGAGGGTTTGTTGCCATCTTCAGTGGTGACTTACTGTAGTTGCTGTGTGAATATCCTTCCACACAACTGCCTCCCTTGAAAGATCGGAGAGTTCAAAGAGGTTGTCCACCACGATCTCGCCGATCATATCATGGCTTGTGAATCGATCGAAGTCGTAGACGCTAAAGTGCAGCTTCCGATTGCAAAGCTCATCGTACGCCACGGGGAAACAGAAGGTCTCGTCAAACGTGGGGTTCAGATTCTTGCGGTGCACCCTTGTCTGGAACTTCTTCTTCCTGTCTGGCAGCAAGTACATCTTCACATACGGGTCCGAGGTGCCCGTGAAGTCTTTGGCAGGCAGGTCTAAAGCCTTGAGGATTTTCACGACCAAAGCCTGCTCCTCGTAGTCGTAGCGTAGCGAGAAGCTGAGCTTCCCGCAGGTTTCGACATGCCCTTTGGCCTCATCCTCAGAGTCCACAGACTTCTGCTTGTAGAGTTCGGGTTTTATTCTTCCAAAGCTCACCGTAGAGGACTGGCGGAGCGGCACTGCGTCCATGCTGAAYTCCACACTGGTGACATTCATCTGACGAGGAAGGTGGCGCCGGAATGAATTGTGCCTGTTGAAAAAGTTAGATAGTATCTTGTAAATATTTGAATGTACTTGGTGTTGAAAGGACATGCAGAATGTATTTCTTTAAATGGGGTTGTGTAGAGACAAGCACTTGTCTCACTTGCAGTAGAAAACAATCATAGGGTAAGAAAGCTAACAGATACTCAGAGCATGGCTCAAAACTTTTACATCACTAAATTATGCGAACTGAGTCAGTGTTGCTACGCTAACAGCCTGCTCAGTGTGTCCTGCCATAATTCTCCCATGTATGACTCAGTTTCCCCAAGTCAAATCCCAAAATAACTGCAGACAGTGCTAAACAAATTATTCTAAATGAGAAAATATGTTTGTTTTAATAAAAAGACACAAGGATTTCTGTTTGAGCCAAATAATACAGAGGAGGATCTGTTGTTTGAGGTGGATTTGTTGTGATAAAACCACTTAAACCTTGTGTTAAACTAATGGAGGCCTAAATGGCTGCAGCTTCTTCACTTCAGACCAAACTCTTTCCAGTGATGACCTTTCAACAGCAGAAATATTGGTGTGCTTGCGGTGCCCAAGTTAAATATTGCCTGAAGTCTAAATTTGCTTAGCCACAAACAAAATCCGAGCCTCTGCTCACAGGTTTTGTTTGGCTGTAAACAGGTTCCCTCCTGTAAAGTGCACCAGGAATTATCTAATGTCAAGACAATTTTTGCCTTCACTCTCTTTTGTTTTGAGAAATGCAAACCCATCTTAAGCATACAGATTCGCACCCCTRCACCATTTTACCTGACTTCTGCAAATTTCAGTGAGGTTGACATCGTCTGACAAAACTCTGTTTGATTATCCAATCTTGTCACCTAGCAACTGGCCCTCCTGCTTTCGACGGGAAGACAATCACAGCAGTGGCACAAATTATGTTGCGCAAGCGGCCCAGTTGAAGATTAAATGCAACTCTAAAGTGTAGTAAACAACATAAAGGGCCGAGTTTACGAGCCAGAGAAAACTCCATGAGAAAATATGCAAAGTACAAGAAAATTGCCTGAAAGAATGTTTGGTAATAATTTGTTGTTGTCCTGAGCTCTGGCTGTTCAATTTTATTACTATTTCAGTGTAGATGGAAATAACAGTGCACATGACTGAGTGAGAACATGATGCACTCATGGGATGCTTACTACTTAGATATGGTTATTTGTATGTATAGAAGGACACATACATACGCACAGAGACAYTTATTACAAAGCCTGTTTCTTTTTCTTCCTTTTCTCTTAAAGTTATGTCCTTGGATCATTGTGACAGTCACACACATTACATCTCAGCTCACTCATCATATCATTCYCAACAATGTCTCATAGACTTGGCACATGAACACTCTTCAAGACAGTTTTACAAGTGTCTTTAAATCTCAGTTTTATTCCTCTAACAGGTTGAGTTCCCTGAGTCAGTTCACCATAGAGAAGTGCTTTTACAAGTCTGTCATCCTCCAATCTGCAAACATGACCGAACCAGTCAGCTTCCAATTAGTTTCAATCCAATGAAAGACTTTTTCTTATTGCTATGAATTAGTCCCATTTTATATAAAATAAACAGGTGAAGGTTGCATTACATAATGGTACATACTGTAGTTGTCTGATGTCATGCTGTTTTAGGGTCCATCTTTCACTTCCATACAGTAACAAAGACATCAAACACTGATAATGAATTTTGGCCTTGGTAGTTATGATGATGTGGTGAGTCAAAGTTTTTCATAATCATCCAAAAAAGCATAAGAAGCAAGTTCCACTTTCATTGACCAATCACTGGTAACAAAGCTACCAAGCTAGTTAAAATGAGTGACGGTTGCTAATTTTGTATCATCAACGAAGAACTCTTCTGTCGTGCCAATGCATGTCTCTGTTTTGGTGGTGTTGATATGCAGGCCCATTCTCTMTGTGAGATATGTATTTAATAATAACTGTAGGCCATTGATGTATTACTGAGGAAAAACTCCAGTCTTTGCTTTGAGACAGATCTCCATCATAACAAAACCTGTTCGCTGCATGTATGTTTTTTAAATCTTTAAAGACTGTTGCTGCAAGTTTGCAGCCTTGCTTAACACAAATATTATATTGAAAAGATTTAATAAGCTCTCTATCTTAGATGAGTCTTYATGATCCTTTCAAACATCAGTGGAGGGCCAAGCTTGCCTATAATGATAAAAAAGTTTAAAAATTACAAATAACTGGTGGATGCAGTGTGATGTGTTATTGCATCTTATATTTGTGCTATACTCTTGAGATTAAATACAAATAATTTGTTCTAATCAGAGCCAAACTGTGAGGCTTAAACTACATCTATGTTCAAGCAAAATGTCAGTTGTTGTGATTCTACACAATTTTACAACCACCAGRTGAGGACATAAAATGCCTGTCTAACTAAGCAGAAACTAAAAGTTACATAATATTTAAAACACTTGGTTTTGTTGCATAAACCTCCTCTGAAAACAAATAAAATTAAATAAAACAATGATCCCACATGAGATACAAGCAAATCTTCTGGTCAAAAGTCCTAGACTTTAGTGAGATTTTCTCCTGAGTGGAACCCCACCACCCCATCCCCAAAAAAAGTATCAAAGTCCACACTTGCAATAGAAAAATCACAAAAATGATTGCAAAATTGAATCAGAAACAGCTTTTACTACTTTTAAAGCATCATTAAAGCATTTTTATGCAGTGATACAAATTATACTTTATTTATAATAAGAAAATTAATGTGTATTGCGAATGACTTCTAATATGACCACAGTCTTGGTACCTACTGCCAAAATCTTTCATTAATTAGTGAACTGACTTAAAAAAAAACTATCAAATTAATCAGTGCCAGTACATCTGCAACTTAACTCTTTGGTCAGCCCAAAACAAAATGGCTGCCACAGCTAATCAACCTTAGAAAACACAAAAAATTCTTATCAGTTTTACAGATACTAAGCTAATGTTTGGTGCGGTAGTTGCTTAGAGTCATTTTCATCATATAATCTGAGCGCAAACCTTTGGAATATGGAACATGGCCACTAGTTAATCAACATTATTCAGCACAAAATAGACTATAATTCAGACACACAAGTGCCAAGAGATTCCAAGTGATTTTAAAATATTGCATAAAATTGGGCCTAATTTTCTTTAAAGATTTGACCAAACTATACAACTCCACCATTTAAAACGAAAGACAGTGAGCATAATGAACTTGTTCTATAAATGTTAGGCATTTTATTTATTTTTTCCAGTTTCTTTAAAATATTAATGTTTCAATTTCAGCTGGCAAGTAATTCTAGTGAGAACAACCTTTTAATTATTTAATGCATGTTTTTCTGTCAACAATTGTTACAATAATAATTTCACCAAAGCAAAGACTCAACCCAAGTTAGTGTGCAGTCGAATGGTCTTTGTACTACAAACACAGTCATCTTTGTTCTACAAGTACAAAGATGACCAAAGCAGCTTGTTTTGATACTTAAGAGACTATTTGCCACCGTTTTTTAACTTTAGAAGTTCCATCGTCAATAAATTGTTAAAGAAAAAGGCTTTGGTTGTATTTGGAGCGTATTCAGAGCTGATTATATAATAATAAACATTTTTTCCAAACCAATTTATAGCTGCTTTTAAACAGTATACTGTGTCAGGGTTTTTTATGTTCGTTTGGTGTCAGAACTTTCCCCGAGCTATAGGGTGGTAAGCATTCGTCAGAGTGGAACTGCTGTCAGAAAAGTGGGTGGATGAACTGTAAAAGTAGGCGTTATAATCTTTAACTTGGCCTCTCGGCCTCATCGGTGGGCGTATAATTCATTTGGACCTTGGCAGCAATATAATTGAATTAATGAGGCCAAGGACAAGCCAGAGCAAGTGTCAATAACAAGTTTCCTCTGAGAAAGCGATCACAGCTGCCTGGCGCGCGTCACCGAGAACTTGCCCTTCCACCGTGACAGCTCGCGCCCCTCAGCAATGCTAATTATGGCGGTCCTGCTTTAAACACCGAGCTGGGAAACAAAGAGAAGCGAGAGCTGATTGTTTAATATCTGGGGTTTCTACCCAGCCGTTACCATGGCAGCTCAAAGCACACGGACAAGTGATTATAGGGTTCAAACGGCAGCGGGAGGATCCGCCAGATATGCTAAAGAGAAGACTTTTTGTGTGAACGCGCAAAGGCTTTTCAAGGTCACCAAGCAGTCAGTGATGATTTGCGTGACATGTGGCAAAGTACCTCGAGGACAGATGCAGCAGTGTGAACTGCCAGGACATTTTCTGCACTCAGGGATTATTGGTTTGTGTGTCTTGGTGTAGCACGAGCAGTTTTATTAGATTATTGGTCTGTCCTCGAAGATTAGGACCACACTTTGTACCTGGAGGAGGAGGTCGGCTCGGTGGTCTGCCTCTGGATTTTCGTAGGCTGTCGGCTGATCTTCTCCCTCAGGGCCGTTTGCACCTCGGCGGGGATGTCTGGCGACGTCTGGCTGATCTTCATGGCCGCCTCCAGGTGCTTCACAGAGCGCTGCCCGTTCACCTTCACCTCCAGCGGCTGCTTCTTTTCCACCTCTGCCGCTTTGCACTCGGTGACAGGAGGGGCTCTGGGCGGCGCCGCCTCGAGGAAACCCACGTGGAGGCCATTTTCGGCGTGGGACGAAAGCGTCTTGCTCCTCCAAATAGGCCAGCACAGCTTCCAAAAGACAAAGAGAGAGACTACCAACAAGGCGAGGCCACAGAAACCCACGACCACAGCAAGGAGACTGATAGAGATGTCTGTTTTAGCCCACAGAAGAAGACAGGAGAAAATGAGACAAGCCAATGAGGGACAAGAGACAAACATGCAAGGAAGGAGGAGAAAACAGGAGAGAAAGCTGTAAGAAGAGCATAAAGTCATGGAAAACCACAGCATCAGAAAGTTTTTTTTCCCTTGAAGACATTTCAAAGGGCTTTTTTAAAATAAGATTTTATATTTAAAAATATATATCTCAAATTGCAAGGTGACAGGAAGAAACAAGAAAATCAGCAGTTTCCATTGATCCATTTCACCTGTTGCTACTTGAGCAGTGATGAGCTCCGCAGGATGCGTAACAGGTTTCAGAACACCGTGAACTACACGGATGCAGCAAAGTTTCACCAAAAAGGAGGCAACCACCCCGCCTCAAGAAAAGAGCTTTACAACCAGTAAAATGAACTTTTCTGGAATTTACCTGCGTGTCCTTTACCTTGTATGTTGCTCTCCAGCGGGAAAATATCCGCGCATTTCTCCCGGTCTACGTGTCCGGCCAGACAAAGTTCCGTGACGATCTGGAGAGCCCTTTGGCACAAAGTGATGCTGTCCTCCGTCCGGACGCTCATGTCTCTCCTGTTAAGCCATTGCACGCCGGAGGAGCCGGGAGGGCGGCGGTTCATTTGGGCACCTTCTGTGCGCCGCTGAGCGCAGAGTGTCCGCTGGAGACGGCGGGGAGGCGCGCTGCGTCCTCATTCATGTCCAAGCGCGCGACGACGAGGAGCGACTGGCCGCACGCCTTTTTGTCCTCCTTTTTTTCTTCTTTCGCCCCTGGAGTTTGAAGAATAGCTGAGAGGGGGGTTACTGAGTCCAACCCTCCCCGCACCCAAACGCAACGGTTTAATCCTGAATGCAGGAGGTGGGGGTAGTTTCGTTTTCCACCTGCAAATCAGCCCAATCACATCAAGCAAAAGGACACAGTGTTCAAAGTACTTTGAAATACTTTCAAATGTGCTTGATTACCTTGCTGTTCCTGCTCATAAAAACTGAAGTTGCAAACAACAGACTGTAAAATAAATATTTCTATACTGTCCACACCTCATTTAACTCTTAAAGCACTGCATTTTGTTACACAATTATCGAAGAGGTTTAAAATTGAATTTCCTTATGAATCACATGAAAATAGACTTTTATTTTCTCCAAGCTTTACTTGACCACTTACACCCCCACCAATAACTATCAAAAAGCAGCCATGCTTCCAAAACAATTTCAATCAGTGTTTTTGAAGCAGAGACTTCAATGACTGCTCTCAGCTTGTTGTCATCCCATAAAATGTAGCTTTTGTGTAACAATTTGTTTGTACTCAAGATGATCAAATCTTTTTTTCAAACCTTAGTCAATTTTTTATC